TTTTGATGAGCGTTTAAGTGTTTGATTTTTAGGAGCTCCCAGTTATCTAGTTTCATTTCTGGTGTTTGTGCATCCTTAGTTATGGTTTATATACTATTTATGCCATGTATTAGGGCTCCTATTTTTTCTTCCATGATCTTCATTGGTTTAGATATTATATTTAGGTCTTTGATCCATTTTTAGTTATTTTTTGTACATGGTGTGAGGTATGGGTCTTGTTCCATTTTTTTGTAGATGGATGTCCAGTTATGCCAGCACCATTTGTTAAAGAGACTGTCTTTTCCCCATTTAATGGACTTTGGGCCTTTGTGAAATATCAGCTGCTCATAGGTGGATGAATTTACATCTGAGGTTCTCAGCTCTGTTCCATTGTATCTGTTGTTATACCAGTACCAGGCTGTTTTGACTTATCCATTCATTTGCTGATGGATATTTTGGGTGTTTCTACATTTTAGCTATTGTGAAAAGTGCTGCAGTAAAACACTGGTGTACAGGTTTCTGTTTGCATTCCTGCCTTCAGTTCTTCTGGGTATATGTCTAGGAGTGGGATTGCTGGGTCATATGGTAGTTCTGTGTTCAACTTTTTGAGGAATCGCCAAACTGTTTTCCACAACGACTGTACCATTTTACATTCCCACCAGCAATGGACGAGGGTTCCAGTTTCTCCACAACCTCACCAACACCTACCATTTTCCATATAAAAATGGCTTTTAAACATAAAAAGTTCTCAGTCTCCCTGAGAATAAAATAAGTGCAAATTATAACTACCCTGAGGATCTGTTTTTCCACCTATCAAGGTGGCAAAGATAAAAGTTGGAGAACGCTCTATGTTGGTGGGGCTGTGAGGAAACCGGCTGAATTAAGGCCTGCTTAGGGTGGAAACTGGCCCCAACCCTCTGGAGGACAGTGTGGCAATGTGGGTGAAAATTTTAAAAGCAAGTCACCTTTGACCCAGCAATTGCACTTCTTGGAATTTATCCATCAGTATACTCACACATGGAAGAAAAAAAGAGGATAGAATGTTACTCACTGCAGCATTGCTTACAAGCAAAATATTGGAAACAACCTAAATATCCATTACTAGGAGACTGGTCCCATACACAATGGTACTTCCACACAATGGAGTACTGTGCAGCTCTGAAAAAACAAATTAACCAACAGGGTGGCTCCCATGTACCAACATGGTCCAGAATGAGGACCAGGATATGTTGCTGTTGGGTGCTGTTCAGTCGAGTCAACACATAGCTATCCTATAGAGATCGCATAGGGTTTCCAAGGCTGTGATCTTTACAGAAGCAGACTGCCACATCTTCATCCTGTGGAGTGGCTGGTATGTTCGAGCCACCGACCTTTTCATTGGCAGCTGAGTGCTTTAATCACCGTGCCACCATGGCTCCTTTTCGGTTAGCATAAACCCGTTTCCATCGAGCTGATTCCAACTCATAGTGACCCTATAGGACAGAGTAGAATTGCCGCATAGGGTTTCCAAGGAGCGGCTGGTGGATTCCAACTGCCTACCTTTTGGTTAGCAGCCAAGCTCTTAACCACTGCGCTGCCAGGGCTCCTTGGTTAGCATAAACCAAAAAAACCAAACTGGTTGCTGTCAAGTCTATTCCAACTCATAGCGACCCTGTAGGACAGAGTAGAAATGCCTCATAGGGTTTCCAAGGAGTGGCTGGTGGAGTCAAACTATCAACCTTTTGGTTACCAGCCGGGCTCCTCAGTTAGCACAGTATGTGGAAAAAGCACACTGCACAATCATGCGCAGAGTGAGTATAAAGGGAAATAGACATGTTTTTGTATTTGCTTGTAAATGCATAAAATATCTCTGGAAAGATCACAAGACACATTGCTTTTAGGGAGCGAAATTGGGGTGCTGGGACTTGGGGTGGGAGGGAGGCTTTTCACTGTACACCTTTTTGTACCTTTAAATATTTGAATTCTATGGTGCATTATCAAACTCTTAGTTATCTAGTGCTGCTATAACAGAAATACCATCAATGGATGGCTTTAACCTATTGCTGTTGAGTCAATTCTGACTCATCGCGACCCCATAGGACAGAGTAGAACTGCCCCATAGAATTTCCAAGACTGTAATCTTTAGGGAAGCAGACTGCCACAGAGTGGCTAGTAGGTTCAAATGGAAATCAGTGAAGATTCAGGAATGTAGATGAATGGGGTTTTCTATGTTATGCTTGAGTGGGGAGTCTGTCCCTGGGATTGAATTCTTGAAGGAACGGCCTAGAGCTCGATTACCCCTTTTACAGATGAATAAACTGAGGCTGCCAATAGTAGATCTAGAAAAAATACTTGTCATACAGAGGACAGAATCTGTGATACACAAAGCACTTTTATAATTGACAAGAGACAGGGATGAACAGATATTAGAAAAATGGGCCAGGGATGAATGAGGCCGCTCAGCGAAATAAACACACGGGAAGACGTTAAAGCAGGGAAATACGGAGGAACAATGTGATGGCATTTTCCGATCAGTGGTCTGGGGGACATTCTGGAAAAGGGGTGCTCTCCTCACATAGAGCTAGTAGGATGCAAAGGTTTCAGTGTTAGGGGTAAGGACTCGGGGCTCTTCTGCCTGATTTTGTGACTTGGGCAAGTGCCTTTACTCCTTTGTTCCTCGTCTGTGTGACAAGGATGATTATAATGCTAGTTCCTGTTTCATAGGTTTGTTGTGAGGATTAAATGAGCTTCTCTGGATAAAGTGTTTAGAACAGTATCTGGCCCCAAGGAATGCTATTTAAGTGTTTGCTAGTAAATGTCTTAGAACCCATTGCCGTAGAGGTGATTCCAACTCATAGCGATCCTATAGGACAGAGTAGAACTGCCCCATGGGGTTTGCAAGGCTAATCTTTACAGAAGCAGAATGCCACATCTTTCTCCCACTGAGCAGCTGGTGGGTTCAAACTGCCAACTTTTTGATTAGCAGAGGAGCACTTAACCACTTACCACCAGGGCTCTTTAAATGTCTTAGAGGGATTCCTATAAGGTTATTTTTGAGTAAGAAAGTTAAGATGCAGAAAATATTGTTATCTGCATTGACGAAACTGTAGATATTTAGGTGTGTCTGTGATTTCATGAGCATTAAAAAATACAGGATACATTCTTGGCTATCAACAAGGTTTATCAAAGTAGGCAGTAGGGAGTGGGAGGAATAAGCAAAAGAAGGACTTTTAAAGCTTCTTGGTCATTTTTGTTCATTTATTTAAATTATATGCATGTATACATATAGGGGAGCCCTGGTGGCATTAAAGAGCTCGGATACTAACCAAAAGGTTGGCCACTGGAATTCACCAGCTGCTCCTTGGAAACCCTCTGGGGCAGTTCTACTCTGTCCTATGAGTCGGAATTGACTCTATAGCAACGAGTTTTGTTTGTTTTTTTTTTTTTGGTTACACGTATAGATGGAGTCCTGGGTAGTACAAATAGTCAAGCGCTCAGCTACTAACCAAAAGGTTGGTGGTTTGAATCCACCCAGAGATGCCTTGGAATAAAGTCCTGGCAATCTGCTTCTGAAAGATCACAGCCATTGAAAACCCTATGGAGTGTAGTTCTACTCTGAAACACTTGGGTCAGAATCGACTCAACAGCAACTGGTATATGTATAGACACAGTTTAAATGATTAAAAAAAGAAAAACCAAAAAAAGGAAGGGATGTCTCTAACTCTTGCCTGGGGTTGGGGTGGGGGCGGAGGGTCCAGAGGTAGTGATGCCCCTAGCAGTGATGTGAAGAGCAGAACCTCAAACAATGTTGAAATCTTCCCAACACCTCACTACCTTATTTCAAAATCAAATAATCTCTGATATTTACTCCTAATGCCTGAAGGAGAGAGGGAGGAGGGAGGTACTGAAATCCCATCAGTCTTTTGAAGGACTGCCTTTTATCTGTGGGATCTTCCCTGGAGCTCTATTGGCAGCCCTTGACCCCTTTCTGGACATAGGTTTCCCCATCTGTAAAAAGGGAATCATCATGTTACTTTTTTCAGGGTAGCAGTCAAGCCAAGAAGGTCACAGGTAGGGGAAAGTTCTGAAAACTCCAGAACAAATGGGAGTCCCCTTCACCCATAGGTAGGCTAGGTTACTGCCCTGTCCCAGGTAGTGCCTGGAATCAATTCTCCACACAGCAGCAGCAAGAGTGATCTTCCAAAGCACAAATCTGATCTTGTCATCCCTTCCTTAAAATCATTTTATTGTCATCTAGATTTAATCCACACTCATTAGGCTACAAGGCCCTCCCGGCAAGATCTGGCCTCTCTGTACTCAGGAACAACCAGGCCTAAACCCAGTTCCCCGGGGGTGCCTAATTCTCAATCTCTGCGATCTCTTGCTTTGCACACTTGGATCTCTCCCTTTGCCTGGAACCTCTCACCGCACCTCACTACCTCGTGACTCCTCCCATCCTGCAGGCCTCAGCCAGAATGCCACTTCTTCCAGGAAGCCTTCCCGGGCTCCCCAGGGTCGGCTAGGGCCCCAATAGCGTAGGTGCCTGGTTTTTGGTCCATCTTCTGCAATCAATTTGTTAGATTAGATAGGCAGAGGCCATATCTCCGCTGCCTGCCGTCTCTGCGTTTAGCCGGGACATCTCTGGGCAAGGATTCGATGACTTCAAAATACTGGCCAGGTCTGTCAGTCTGTCTCTGTAGTGCTGGTTCTGGCCTGGAGCACAGGCTGAGGGCTACCGACTGGGATGGGCTTTTTTGCGGGGTGCAGCCAGGTCCTTGGGAGGATGGTGTACTGTTAAGGGAAAAGCCGCCCCATGAAGCCTGCCCCTCATAAACATGGGCGAAGCCCTTCCGCTCGGCTCTGCGGACTGCCCCGCATAAAGATGGCACCCGCAGAAGGCGCTGGATTCTCACCGGTGGCGGAGGGCTGCACGGCGCTGATTGGTGGAGGGAGAGGGCGTGTCGGGGCCGGGGCGGGGCGGGGCGAAGTTGAGCGGGGCGTCTCCGGCCCCGGCCTAGCGTGCCGTTGCGTACGCTGGGACTATGTCGCGGGCTTGGGGACACCTGCACCCGGCCCTATTCCTGGCGGCGGTTTCTGCGCGTGGGGCGACGACCGGGGTCGGGGCGCGGCGGAGGTTAAGCGCGCGTCTGGCGCCGCAAGAACCCGGCATGGACTATCAGGTATCTGGCGGGCCTGGCAGGCGGTCGTGCGAGGACACGTGGGCTGGGCCTGAGTCACCCACCTTCCGGGCTCCACCAGCTGAGTGGAGGGGTAGGGGAGCTAGGAGCATGAGACTAAGGCGCTTGGGGGGCGGGGACATCCTGGAGTCTGGGGTGGGAGATAGGGATTAGGAAATTAAGCCTGGGCCGCAGCATCTGGGAATTTGAGGCTGAGGTGTCAGGCATTAGAAGGTGGGAGGGAGCACCCCGTGATTGGCCTGGGGGTCCAGGGACTTACCTGGGGTTCTGGAGTTCCGGTGACCCTGGAGTACGAACTGGCAGTGCGAGGTGATGGGGAGGAGGAAGGGATCCAGGAGTTAAGACTTGAAGGATCCAGGAGTATAAATCGGGGGGTGGAGTCTCCAGGATTCAGAGGATTGGGGATCCAAGTGCCTGGAACTTGGAAAGGCTAGAATCCGGGGCAGTGGGGAGCCCAAGACTCTCGGGAACAAAGAAAATTTCTGTACGGTGCTGTGCCAAGGGCCAGTTGCTAGTAGGGGTGGAGGAGGCAGGAGTGGCACCAGTTTGTTGGGGGTTGGACCACCCACCAGCCAGCCATTGAGGTCCTGAGGGCAGGAGATGCCAGATCTGAGGCCTGAGGGGAAATAAACAGCACCCTCACCCCCACCTCCAGTGTGGGCCTGCCTGATGCATACCTACCTCCCAGCCTGGCTGGGTGACCCTGGGCACTCCCTTCCTCCCTCTGAGTCTTTTTCTTTCCCCCACCTGGTTGCTTCCAGCAGTTCTTCTCCAGGTCAGAATCTGGAACCCCACAGTCCTCAGGGTTAGGTGTGGAGCCTCCAGGAATTCCAGAACCCTAATACTCTCACCTTCTGCATTCTGGCCCCCACCCCAGTAGGTGCCCAGTACGGTGATGGACCCCATTGGAGGGGATGAGGGGAAAGTGCCCAGGTGATGAAGCCTGGGGAGCCTGAACAGGAAACAAGGCTATCCCCGCGAGTCAGTAATGCCACTTGCTTTGCCTGGCACTCCCTGGGTGGGGCTGAGCTGCCCCAGGCTCCCATTTCTGCCAGAGCTGGAAAGATGCCACTTCTCTCTCTCCCATTTCATAACCTTTAGGCTGGGGCAACATGGCTGGCATGGCAGGCCTGGCACCCAGTCCTGGCCACTGGTGTGCCAGGTACCTTGTATCTATGGACCCCTAGCGAGCCTTAACCTGCTACCTGGAAATTGTGGTTGCCAGGATGCTGTGCGCACGCTCAACACCCTGCAGACCAATGCTGGTTACCTGGAGCAGGCGAAGCGTCAGCGGGGCGACCCCCAGACACAACTGGAAGCCATGGTGCTCTACCTGGCACGGAGTGGGCTGCAGGTAAGTAGGGCTGGAGTAGTAAGGGCCTGTGACCCCACCTTCCCACTCCTGACTGTCAGTTCCATGACTGAGGCGGGAACCTTGTCTTTCTGTCCCAGGTGGAGGACTTGGACAAGTTAAACATCATCCATGTCACCGGGACCAAAGGGAAGGTAAGGGGCAGGACCTAGGGGTAGGGTGTCCACTTAGTGGCACAATGGGGTGAGGCCTGCCCAGACAATACCTTTTCTTTCAAGGGTTCCACCTGTGCCTTCACTGAACGGATCCTCCGAAGCTATGGCCTAAAGACGGGATTCTTTAGGTACTGAGGCGTTGGGGGATGTGTCTCTTAGCTCTCTAGGAGTCTGTGGAATAAGCCAGCACCCCAGGGCCAGGGTCACCCGCAGGAGCTCAGCTGCATGTCTCTCTGCCCAGTGTTTATTCATTCAACAAATGTTCAATTAGCACTTACCTTATGGTCCCAAGTATATTTTTTAAAAAAACCAAGCCCGTTCCCATTGAGTCGGTTCCGACTCATAGCAACCTTATAGTTTATGGCAGTCCTTAATTTTCATAATGAAAAAATTTTGGGAGGGAAAGGCAACTTGAATATATTAACAAAATACATAGCTAGAGTAGATGTCTATTTAGTAGGTTGAATTCCACATACAATTTTTAAATCACATAGAAATTAATATTTACTCATGTCTTTGAAATAAGGAGCAGAAAACCTGGCTTAAACAATAAGGATAGTTTATGATGTTGTTGGAGTCCCTGGGTGGTACAAACGGTTAATGTGCTCAGCTGCTGAAGGACAGGTTGGAGGTTTGAGTCCATCCAGATGTGTCTTGGAAGAAAGGTGATCTACTTCTGAAAAATTAGCCATTGAAAACCCTGTGGAGCACAGTTCTGCTCTGACATACATGGAATCGCCGTGAGTCAGAATCGACTTGACAGCAATTGGTTTAGTTATGACATCCGTGTCAAGGGCGCTGGGGGTGGGCAGCAGAAGGGAGGCCTTCACGCCACTAGCCTTAGCTGTGGCTTGGCCCTTGAGTCAGCGCCCCCTCTTGGTCACAGCTCAGGCATCCAGACACACAAAGGATCGGAGGTAGAATATGGGTCCCTCTTCCCAGTGTCCTACAGGCCTCTTAAGCCAGTTACCGATAAAGCAATTTATTCTTTGGGGTTGAGGCATTTAAGATTTTTGCCTCCTTTTATTTTACCAGTTCTATCGGATGACCTCCATAAGCATCTCAAACTAGCTGACTGAGGTCATTTCAGGCCAACATGTTTTCCCCAAGCAGTTCTTTATTCAAAATAAAGAAACAAAGAGAAGTACTCATAATATGAGAGCGTCTGTAAAGACTTAAAGATAAGGCAACAATTTCTCTTTTAAAATAATTTTTTGGGTAAAAACCCTAACCTTTGACTTGGGACCATGTGGCCTTGTGGGCCAGCTGGGGGATGCAGCTTGAACCCAGCAGACATGACCCTGCCCTTGAAGGCTGGAAGGCAGGCGGTATGGGTGCAGGTGTTAATAGAGTGATTGATTAATGTGTAATGGGGAACAGGCACTTGTGGGAAGGGGGGCTGCTGGAGCCCAGAGAACATGCCTAGCTGGCTTGGAGAGGTGGAAGTGTGTTTCTGGAGGAAGGGCCATCTTAGTCCAAACCTGTGGAGTGAGTAGAAGAGAGCCAGGTGAAGCAGGTGCAAAGGCCTGGAGATAGAAAGGGGGGGGGGGCAGGAGGAGCTAAAAATAGTCCAAGTTGGGGGAACTTGGGGCACAGGGAGCTAGCTGGGGGACATGGGAGAGGTGAGGCACGGAGGTCAGTGACATCAGCCCCAGTGGGGCCTTGGAGGCTATGGTGAGGAGCTGGGGCTTTCTTGAGGGTAGCAGGGTTTCCAGCAGGGGGGATGACAGGTCGGATTTGTATTTCTGGAAGACAAGTCTGCCTGCAAGGTGGGGGAAGACCCAGGGGGCTTGAGAAGGGAGTCTCAATGACCCCAGGTCTCCCGGCAGCTCTCCCCACCTGGTGCAGGTGCGTGAGCGGATCCGCATCAACGGGCAGCCCATTAGCCCCGAACTCTTCACCAAGTACTTCTGGCGCGTCTACCACCGGCTGGAGGAGACCAAGGTGCCGCATGCTGGAGGACTGGGGGTGGGCAGGGTAGGGAGTGCTGAAATCGGTGGATAGCCCAGAGGGCAGTGCGTGTCAAAGGACCCCACATCCCCAGAGGAGGGGCTTCAGGGCTCCAGACCCTGATGTGTTCCTGTGCCACAGGACGGCAGCTGTGTCTCCATGCCTGCCTACTTCCGCTTCCTCACGCTCATGGCCTTCCATGTCTTCCTCCAGGAGAAGGTGTGTGTCTGCTCCCCAGAACCCTGTGTCTGAGGCTGTGGGGAGGGCAATCTCAGCAGGCTGGGGGGCTCCCTGCACTCACATGGCATCTGGGTACCCCATGCCCTTTGCCATGCCCTCTGGTCCTCTGCAGGTGGACCTGGCAGTGGTGGAAGTGGGCATTGGTGGGGCATACGACTGTACCAACATCATCAGGTAAGGGCAGCTACTTGGGTGAGGAGTGGGGTGCCAGAAGCCCAGGCCTCACCCATTGCTTGGCAACTCAGGGCAGGAGCATCACAGCCCTTTCATCTTCTGCAGGAAGCCTGTGGTATGTGGGGTTTCCTCTCTTGGCATCGACCATACCAGCCTTCTGGGTGACACAGTGGAGAAGATCGCATGGCAGAAAGGGGGAATCTTTAAGGTAGCCACTCATGCTGGGGCAAGGGGAGGTACATGGAAGGCCTGGGCCTGGCCCTCAGGCTCAGGGGAATGGGGCTGGGACAGAGCATTTGTGTCCTGACTCAGGACGAGGTCCTGGGCATCAGTGGGATGGCTGAAGCCAGCTGAGCCTCCTTTCTGGCTTCTGTCTCCCCACTGCAACATGAGGGACAATGGGTTCCTATAGTCCTGTGGGGGGTGGAGGCAAAGTAGGCAGCCCAGACCCAGGATGTGGGGCCAGAGTAGAGAGGGTGGAGGACCCTGGGCCACCCCCATCTTACTCTCCCTCACCCCCCACAGCGTAGCATCCCTGCCTATACCGTGCTCCAGCCCGACGGTCCCCTGGCGGTGCTGAGGGAACGCGCCCAGCAGATCTCAGTAAGTCTGTTGGAATGGGTGCCCTGCCTGGAGAGGCAGTTTTTCCTTTCTGGCCTCAGTTTGCCTGTCTGCGCAGTGAGGGGGCTGGGCCAGCTGCTCATCCAGTTGGAACACATCTTGGTTCTGGGAGCAGGGTTTGGTGGGTTCTGGTTGGTGGGGGAAGATGGGGGGCTGATGGGATCAGGGAGGGCCTCCTGGCCAAGGTGGCGGTAGTAGCTGCCCTGACCAGCTGCTTTCTGTCCCTTGGGCAGTGTCCTCTCTACCTGTGCCCGCCACTGGAGGCCCTGGAGGAAGGCGGACCACCATTGACCCTGGGCCTGGAGGGGGAGCACCAGCGGTCCAATGCCGCCTTAGCCTTGCAGCTGGCCCACTGCTGGTTGCAGCGGCAGGACCACCCAGGTAAGTGGGCAGGTGTGTGGGTGGGCAGGGTCCCCTGTCTGTGAGGGTCCTGAGTACACAGGGTCTCATTTCCCGCCCTTACAGGCATCGGGGAGCTGAAGACATCCAGACTGAGCCTCCTGCAGCAGCTGCCCTTGGCACCTGTGTTCCAGCCCACGTCCCACATGCGGCACGGTGAGTGGGCTCTGCCTGGCCAGTGGTAACTGTTGTTATTGTCATTTTATTACCATCGTCATGAGACCATGAGGATCTTGAGGATGGTAATATTGTCATTTGCTTTGTCATCCCCAAAGCTTTCAGCATGTAATAGGTGCTCGTGGCTGTTAAACTCCTTTAGCAAATGGTTCCATTGTGCCCGTCGTGTGCCAGGCCCCATGTCAGGGGTTATTACGAGGTTCTGGAACCAGGCCGATCCCAGTTCCCACTTGCTCTGTGACCTAACCTCTCTGAGCTAAGAGTCTTCCAACTGTAAAATGGGAATAATATAGGATAGCAGTCCTCTCTCAGGGTTGCCTGGAAGATTCCACCAGATAAGGCAGCGAAGAGCTTACTGACTGGTGCCCAGTAAGAGGCTCCTGCGATTATCAGATCGCCAGAGTGCTTAGAACGGGCAGCCTTCAGACCAGTGGGGGCGCTGAGGGCAGGGAGACCCCGCTCCAGGTTGCTTTTGCTAGAGGGGGACTGGGGTGGGAGAGGACATGGAGGGCATTCTCGTGGCGGCGGCTGGAGGGCTGCCTTGACCCCGTCCTCCCCAGGGCTTCAGGACACAGAGTGGCTGGGCCGGACTCAGGTTCTGCGGCGCGGGCCCCTCACCTGGTATCTGGATGGTGCGCATACAACCAGCAGCGTGCAGGCCTGTGTGCGCTGGTTCCGCCAGGCGCTGCAGAGGCGCGAGAGGCTGAGCAGGTTAGTGCCGGGCAGGGGCGGGGCCAGGGGCGGGGTCTCTGTGACAGGGACCCCGGACTGGCCGATGGAGAGAGTTGGGGTGGGGGAAGGACTGGGGTGGGACTCGCAAAGAAGACGGGATGAGGAGGGCCGCAGGCCGCGACTTCTTACCCCTCCCCTTCTCCCACAGTGGGCCAGAGGTGTGTGTCCTGCTCTTCAATGCCACTGGGGACCGGGACCGGGTGGCCCTGCTGAAGCTGCTGCAGGTGAGGGGCCTCACCAGGAGATGTGTGGCAGCTAGCCCAGGCCTGGCTCTGTCATTCTTTGGCCATATAACCCCAGGTCACCTGAGCCTGGGTTTCCTCAACTGTAAAATAAAGTCATTTCCCCCTCCTCTGGATTGTACTGAGGATTAAATGTAGAAGCACCAGACACGTGGGGAAGTCTAGCCATTGCATATGACCCTGGGCAAAAGATGTCATTTCCCTGAGTCTCAGTTTGCCTCTCTATAAAACGGGGTTGCTAAAGGTTCCTGCTTCTCAGGGTTGAGGAGTCATCTGGGCTGTGTATAAAGTACGTGATGGCCCTTCCCTGCTTGGGGAAACCAGACCGCCCTTGGCTGTCAGGCTGAAGTGGCTCCTAGGGATCATTTGGTTTTTCATTCCCATTTCACAGACGGGGAGGCTGAGGCTCTTCTTCATATCCCATTTGTACAGACAAAACCTTTCCTCCAGCCTGGATTTGGAGCCTGTTCACTAGCTGGGTGACCTTAAGCAAGTGCCCCCCTCCCCTACCAAGCCTCAGTTCCCCCATCTGTATAGTGACCCATGTCTTTGCCGTCCAGACCACAAGCCAGGCAGGGTATATGGAGGTGGATTAAGAGGTGGTCGGGGAACTGAAATGCTGTGGCTGGGTTTATGCAGCATTATTCCAGTTCAGCCAGGGCTTAGGGCTAGGGGACATCTCCAGAGATGGGGTTACATGTGGAAGTCAGGATGGAGGGAGTCCTCTCTGGCCTCTGACACCAAATCTACCCCCTTGACCTTCTAGCCCTGCCAATTTGACTATGCCGTCTTCTGCCCCAATCTGACAGAGGTGTCACCCACAGACAACGCAGGTGAGGCGGGCAGGGGGCTGAGGTCCCTGAGGTGGACTGCGCTGTTGGTGACAGTGGGGGCTTCTGAGAGGGGAACTGGAAGTACATTTTAAATTCTATTCCTTGTGGCTGCAATGCTAAAAAAGAATTATCTGAGAAAAGTTTTCAAAATGCAAGTTAAAACCCACTGATTGTTGTTGAAATCGATGTAGTGGGTCTCAACCGGCATTTTTTATTTTAAATAAAATAGAATAGAAAATATCAGTGTCATTGCATGAAGTAAGGATAGGTCCTGTTTCTTGAAGATTTTGTTCCGGGTATACACCCACACACTGAGTTTTGATGTAAAAATGTCTTTTTTTTACATTTGTATAGCACCTTTTATTTTTTAAAGGCACTTTCATGTCCATTACCTTTTGTGATACTCAGAAGATTTATCTGTAAAATGTGTAAAATGTCTTTTACTGTGGGTCGTGGTCAAAAAAGTTTGAACTAGCATTGTAAGAAGTACAGATCCTCAGATCCCACATAAGACTGGGGAGAGGCCAGGAGTGTGCATTTTTAACCAGCTTCCCTGAAGATACTTAGGCCCAGTTGGGGATAGACTCCAGCTAGCCATCCATTTTATAAATGAAGGCAGTGATCCCAGGGAGGGGAAGTGGTGTTCAGTGCACAAAAGCCCCATCTTTGGAGCTAAACTGCCTAGCTCTGCCTCTCACCAGCTCTGTGACCTTGGGCATGTCACTGAACCTTTCTGAGCCTCAGTTTACTCATACCATCCACTGTGAGGACCACTAGGAGGTCTGTCAGATGAGGCATATAAAAGGCCTAGCACAAAGCAGGTGCTCCTGACATACCTGGCCATCTCCCCCATTCCTGACCTCACCCCATCCCTCACCAGCGTGCCTGTTTCTGTGCCCTGCAGACCAGCAGAACTTCACAGTGACACTGGACCAAATGCTGCTTCGCTGCCTCGAACACCAGCAGCACTGGAACAACCTGGCCGAGGAGCAGGCCAGCCCAGATCTGTGGAGGCCTCCTAGCTCGGAGCCTAGTGGCCCCACATCCCTGCTGCTGGCACCCCGCCCACCCCATGGCCACAGCACCAACTCCCGCATCTTCAGCTGCATCTCGCATGCCTTACAGTGGATCAGCCAAGGCCGGGACCCCGTCTTTCAGCCACCCAGTCCCCCAAGGGGCCATCTCACCCAGCCTGTGGCAGGCAGTGGGTCCAGTGTACTTCAGGAGGCTGCTGCCATCCATGTGCTAGTCACAGGCAGCCTACACCTGGTGGGTGGCGTCCTGAAGCTGCTGGAGCCCTCGCTGTCCCAGTAGCTGAGGCAGCAGGGTTGGAGGTGGGGCCTTCCCACACCTGCCCTGCGTTCTCTCCATGAACTCCTGTACTAGGTGCCTTTTGTTTTCTGCTTTCCTGGTTCTGTCTACACTGACCCACAGACCTGGGCATGGGCAGTGCAATAGGGGACTGGAAAGGGGGAGGCTGGAAGAGGATGTCCCTCTATCTCTGAGCCTGGGGTGCCCTTGGCCTCAGTGTCCCCTCCATGCCTTGGCCTCTCCCCCAAATGTTTACCCTCTCAGCTGAGTCAGCCAGGGGGCTTCCCAGTTCTCCCACTATTGTAGCAGGCCTGGAAGCCCAGCTCATCTCCCCCCGCAGCTCGCTGCCTCCTGGCTCAGGCCCACTGTATTGTGTGAGCTGCCTGGTCAGGCCTAGGGTCCTGCCAGGTGCCTGTGATGGATTTCCTCCTTCCAGTGCCTTCTGAGAAAGCAGAGGACCCCTGCCTGTGGCCTGGGGACAGAGGGTGGTTGCAGTAAATTAAAGCCTTTTTTTTTTTTTTTTTTAAAGAAATGGCAGAATTTGTGACTTTCTTAACCTCTGTCTCCCTTAGCAGACAATAGGGAATGGGCTACAGCTGGCGCAGGAACGGGAGTGTGTAGAAGGAGCCTGGCTGTGTGGCCTGGGACAAGCCTCTCCCTCTCTCTGAGCCTCAGTTGGCCTGTCTGTGAAATAAGACTGGATGGATATCTCTTGACCACTTACTACACGCCAGGCACTGCTTTGCAGACCTCTTGGCAGAGATCTTGTGACTGAGGAATTATCATACTCATTTACAGGTGAGGGCGCTGTGGCTGGCTTAAAGTAACCATGGGACTTGTCCACAGTCACACAGCCAAGTGGCAGGTCAGGATTTGAACCCAGAGCTGTTGAGAGCCTGTTTTCAGAACTCCAGCGGCAGAATGTCAACAGGGCCTCCTGATTTTTGGTTTCTTACAGCCCTGGTTCCAGAGATTTGCTTCCAAGTGAGTGAGTGAATGGCAGAGGAGGGACTGGGTTTAGTCCAAATCTGCTGTGGCCTGGCTTCCTGCTACTATTTAGCCTACGGATGTCCCTCTGCCACCAGGCTGGCCCAGTGGGGGCTAAGGACAAGAGCAGCCCCATTCTGTGCTCCTGGCCCCTCCTGTACCCTCACACATACACACCCTATCTTGGATGCCCCCGACTTTGCCCAGTCCAGCCCAGTGCAGGTTTCACGGTCTGATTTATTGGTGAGTATACAGGGGTGGGTCCCGGGCAGGCAGATGGGCCACTCCCCATCTGCTGCCCACCTGATGGCTGGGAGGGCGTCTCTTTGTGGCAGTTGCAGGGTGAAGGTAAGGCCTTCTGCACGGCCACCCTCTGGCTTCCCAGGCTGGGGATCCCTAGGCTTCTGCTTCCCCCACCAAGCTGTTCCAGAACAGATGTAGAGGCTGCTGGGACCAGATCCACGTGGCTCTGGGCTGGACCCTCTTCCGTTCCCATGGAGGAGGTGCTGTCAGGGCCTGGGTGGGTTGGACTGAGTCTGGTTCAAGTTCTCATCTCTCACCCAGCCCACTTCAGTGAGTGCTGGATCTGGGTTAAAATGACAGGGACTCGGGTTCCTACAAAAAAGTGGACATACAGGGCAGTGGACTCTCTCTCTGTGGTCCTGGGCAGCTGTACCCCAGACCCACTGAGTTTGAAGATTCTGTGAGGTGGGCTGGGGTGACCCCAAGGTGTTCCAAGCCGGTGCCCCCGCTGGCATCAGTCCTCTGAGGGAGGCGGGAGGAGTGGGTGCAGAGGGCATGGTCCATCCTTGGTTGAGTGGAGGGGCTGGGGTCCCGGGATGAGTCCGTGGGCCAATGGTTCCCAGCTGGTGGCTGCTCAGTCTCTCCTGCCGGGCGAGGGCTGTCGGTGGCCTCCAGGGGTCCAGGCCGGGCTCTACGCCATGCTGCTGGTGGAGCAGGGGGTGCTCTGGGTGCTTCCGATGCTGTGGTTGGTGCTGCTGCTCTCTGAGGAGGCTGGGGCAGCCACCGCCACCACGGGCTCCCGCTTGCCAGGGGGACCTGGTGGTGGGGGCAGGGGCGGAAGTCAGGGACCCAGCTAGGACTCCTCACTCCCCCAGAGGTTTCACTGGGCTCCCCCCGAGGTGGAGGGGCCCTGAGCACTCAACTGTAGGGGTCTGGGATACTCACGTGTGTGGGAGTAGATGTACCAGAGCGCGGCGGTGAGCAGAGCCCCGATGAGGAAGGCGCCAAAGGTGATGCCCAGCACAGCGGGCAGGACGAGACCTTTGTCTGTGCAAGCAAGGGAGGGCCAGCTGTGGTCAGCACTGCTGCCACCTCCTCCCTGGGCCCAGCCCTGGCCCCTCACCCAGTTGTGCTGGCCAGGAACAGGGACTTTGGTGCCATACACAGCTCAGCCACTTACCCTGACTTCTCTGAACCCCAGTCTCTTCATCTAGCAAATGAGCTCATCACACCCACGCCCAGCACTAAGCTACAGTTGCTATTACCATAGACCCAGAGGGCCCAGCCAGGCCTTTTGGTTCATGCTTCTGCCTCCCAAGGCTGATGGAGAAGTTTTTCAGGGAGAATGGATAGTGTAATATGGACAGACAGTGGGGCCTGGGAGTTTAGAGCCTGTCCTGGCCCACTCTGTGACCTTAGGTCAGTCCCATCTGTACAGTGGGGTTATTAGCCCTGCTCTGTTGGTCCTGGGCTGGGAGTGGGGCTCGATCCTGGCCCCCAGTGTCAGGGACTTTTCCTGCCTGGTGGGGGCCTTGGCCCAGAGGGAGCTGAGCAAACAGGCTAGAGGGCACTGGGCTGAAGGGGCATCCCCTATACTTGGGTCAGCACTCTGTCCAGCATGCTTCTGGGTACTGCTCCGAGGAGCCGTCTGTTCCACCCAAGAGACCAGATTCCGGGAGACCCCACCCCGCCAACCAACCCTGGGAATCAGAAAAACACTGGACAGGGAGCCAGAAGCCTGGGATCTGGTTCTGAGGCTGGTCACGAGCAGTCTCTTGTCTATAAGATGCAGCTGTGGATCCTAGTGTAGGCTGTTGGGGCTCTGGGGAGCCTTCTCCCTGCCCCTCCCAAGGCTGCTCTCTCTGGGGTCCTCCCTGCTGTGTGCCTCGGGGCCCCATCCCTCGGGCTATCCATTGCACACCCACTCAAACGAAGCCAACAGAAACCCAGAGGGAGCTCACCAGTCAGGCTGGGGCTGATGATGTTCAGGTGCATGGAGACAACCCTCTGGACGTCCTGGGGGAGGAAAAGAGAATGGTATGTGGTACAGCCTTTGGGCAGTAGGTTCCAGTCTCGTTGGCTCTGGGCCCTGGCTTGCCACGGCCTACCTTGGAGCCTTGGGTTTGAATCCCATCTCTGCCACTAGCTGGGAGCCTTGGACCCAGGCCTCACTTACCCGGGACCAGGTTCTGGGACTCAGGCCTATGGTGCAGCTGAGGGTGCCAGCCTTGGGTGTGGGCACCATGTACCCACGGAGGAGGAAGCTGAAGCGCAGGTCACCATCAGGGCTTGGGGGCAGCAGGCTTACACAGCTGCCTTTGGCTGCCTGGTTCTGGATGAGTTCTACGGTGTCTGCCTCAGGTCCTAAGTCCAGGTGGCAGCTCTCTAGCTGGAACACAAGCTCAGAGACCAGCGGAGACACGCTCACCTGCACAGGTGGGTAAGGAGATGAGGCACAGTCGATTACTCTTAACCCTCCACCCAACCTAATCTAATGAAATAAGCTAGAATGATGAGTTCCTGCCCCTGAGGCCTAATGGTGGGAGGAAAGGCATGGGCACGTGTACAGCAACTAAGGAGGTATTACTATCACTATCACTTCCTATCGGTACCTATGAGCTCTGCCTTTTTTTCTGTCCCCTCCCCCATGCACCCATGATGGCTCCCTCCTTCCTCTGGGAAGTTCAGTTCTCGTCTTCTCTGCACTAATGGTGGAAAGAAAGGCACATGAGAAATTTCAGGAGTTGGTGGGTCTGAGGTGGTGATGGGGCAACCCAGTACCTGCACAAAGCCCTGCTGCCCCAGCTCGATGGTGTTGGAGGCCTGAAGGAAGTGTGGGCTGAGGTAGAGGCTCAGCTGGAAGGAGAGGCTTTCCATCTTGATGCAGTGCACCTCTTTCTGTGGGGGGATGGGAAGGGCACCTGGTAAGTCTGGAAGGTACCAGCAGGCAGCGAAGGGTCTGGGAGTGGGTATCAGACATCATGGTCCAGGGCAGTTGCCCGACCCTCATCTTCATCTTTCTTTTTTTAAAACTGATGTTAACCAGGAATTCACTCTGTGCCAGGCCTGTATAAAGTGCTTTTCAGGCTTCATCTCAGTGACTGTTCATAAGCACCCGCATGGGGTGGGGTCCTTCCTTAGGCTATTGTTTACAGATAATGACATTTAGGCTCTGAAAGCTTAAGTGATTAGCCTAAGGCCACACAGCCAGTATGTGCTAGAACCCTCTGACTTGAGGCTAAGAACGGCATGTTAAACGGTACTGCTCCCACTATACAGAAGGGAAAACTGAGGTATGTGGGGGACACGTGGCTTGTCAGGATCAGGGCATGAGTTTCTTGAGGGCTGCTCCCTCCCATGCCAGGAAGGGGCTCCAACCCCAGCCAGCAGATCCTGGACCAGTGGGTTAGCACAGTGACTGTCCCATCTTACCCGCTGTGGTGATGAGCTCGACAGGAAGTTGATGACTACCTGCAAGGACAGAGCCAAGGAAGTGGTCAGAGCCAGCAGGGACCCCAGAGGGTTTCCCACCCAATGTATCCATTTTACATATGGCGAAACTGAGCCAACCAATGGCAAAGCTTGTCTTGTGTTCCTACTGAGTGCTACGCCCTGCCCTCCAAAACACCCAGCAGCCTGGAGGATCAGGAGGCATCCCGAGGGAGGCACCAGCCAAGCTGCCTTGATACTGTTCCTGCTCCAGCTCTTACCTCATTGCTGATCACATTTTCTGTCACATTTGTGCCACACTTGGAGTACGTGCTGCGCAGAACAAATTCATCAGCATTGTCTTCAGCCTGACAGCTGGGGTCCCAGAAGGTCAGTCCCATGATGGTGCACCGCAGAGCCTGGGCCAGGATGGGGGAGGGAGCGGGGACCGTCAGGAGACATCAGGCTCCCTGGAGCCCGTTCACACCCTTGCACCAAGGACTGACTATAACCCAGGGGTCCCAAATCACAGCCATTACTCTGCCCCTCTCTCATCATCTTAACATCATCTAAGATTTAATACTTTTCTTGAACTTGACTGACTTTTTTACTTAGTCTTGTCCTAAGCAATACTATTGGTGACATTATGAGTTTGATTTGCTACTTACTGTTTTTTTTCCTAATACATAAAATAAATACATAACTATTAACGTTAAAAGCATTCATTCAAGTTCCACATATAATCATCACTCACAGCCCCAGTGCATGCAGACCCCTCAGCATAATCCTAATCAGAATCATAGACTCTTAGACCTGAGGTCAGCCAACTTTTCCAACAATGGGCCAGATAGTAAGTATTTTAGGTTTTATGGGCCACATGGTCTCTGTTGTAACTACTCTACTCTGCCATCATAGCATGAAAGCAGCCATAGACAATATATAAATGAATGGGTATGGCTGTGTTCTAATAAAACTTTACTTACAAAAACAGGCAGTGCACCACAGTTTGCCAACCCTTGTCTTTAGAATTTCTTAGTCATGCTTACCATCAAAGACTCTCAGAGTGTTTTAGAGTTGAGCAGCTGATGGAGATCACACTTGAACCCATCCAGCTAACTCTTGTCCACTCCTCCAGAGTGCTACTCCTGACTGCTACTGCCCCCCAGCTGCCTGGGGCCATGTTAGCAGACATCAGCCCACCAAATAAAATGGCTCTAAGTGAAGTACCCAGTGGCACATGGGCCTGGAATTCAAATTTGCCCACTGACCACATTTTATAAGTCAATAAGAAGGCAGTGTACTCTGCATTTGAGATGAATCTGTTCAGAACTTTTACTTTGTGTTTTCTTCTGTACAGACATACGTACTTAGAGAAAATGTTTAGACTTGTATTCTGTTGTATTTTTAACAAATGGTATCATACTGTCCTTCATTCTGCAGTTTAGTTTTCTCACCCAACAATAAATCATATACATCTTTCTGTGTCTGTATTGATAGATCTACCACCTTTGTTTTTAACTGCAGCAGAGCATTCCAAAGATTAATGGATTATAATTTATTCATCCAGGCCCCTACTGATGGACATTTAGGTTTCCGATTTTTCTCTTACAAACGATGTGACAGGGATCATCCTTTTGCAACTGGCAACAGGGTGGTGGAATTACTGGGTCATAAAGCAACATTTACAAGGTAAATCTTAAAGTATAATGACTATGGTCAGATTGTCCTCCAATGGGCTGTATCAGAACCTAAACTTCCACCAGCAACGTATGAAGGTTCCATTTCCCCTCACCCTAGCCAAGGTGTCATTTTTCTCTCTTGCCTACTTCTGAATACTCCAAGGACTGTCCAGCTAATTTGTCTGAGAGACTTTCTCTTTATTTCCAGTAAAAAGATAGTTTTTAAGCATTTGGGCAGTAAGTCGGGAGCTCTGGAAAGGTTGTCAAGATGCAGAAACAAGGAGACTTGGGGCCGGGCAGAAGCAATGCCAGTACCTCCTCTTCCATCTCGACATCTTCTGGGCCAGGTGGAGGCCCGGGGTGAGAGGAAGGCAGGCAGCAGACAGGTGGAGCCTCCCCTGCCCTATATTCCAAAAAACTTCCATGTACACTTAACCAGAGTTAAATGTCATTCTAAAAATCCCTGAGAGAACATGGATAATTTATCAAGGGCTCTGAAGAGACAGTCTCTACTTCAGAAAGGCCAGAAGAAATCACAAAGAGAAAGGTGAACAGCTAGGATGGCCCAATGTTTTAAAACATCTCAAAAGTTAAAAACCACTGTAACCAGAATTTAAAGAACTGTAACAAACTGAGGGGAATGATTTCAATACGAATATTGGACAAAGAACTCCACCCCCACCCCCCCATTTTCTTTTACGTAAAACACTTGTAAAGATTATCAAGAAAAATGCCAAGCCCCAGTGATGTTTCTATCAGTCATATGGAGCCACGGCCACCATATTCCTAATCAAAGAATTAGTAAATTAAGAATGAAACACTATTCTCCACCTCCCGCGTCAGCAAGGGTTTTTTTTTTTTTTTTTTAAATAATAGTCCGGAGAGACAGAAGTGGTCAAGATGCTCTCATAAATCAGCAGGGAAAATTTAAATCATCTTTTGGAAGGCAGGTCGGTAGTATGTACCAAAACTTCTAGAATGTTCACTCATTTTGACCCAGCAATCTCACTAATGTGGAAATCTCTCCTAAGAAAATAATCCTAAATAAAGTTTCATGCACAGGGGCATTTTCTGCATATTTATAATATTACAAAATTAGAAACAACTTAAACGTCTAACAAGTGAGGAGGAGGTAATTTGCTGTTGTTGTTGTTAGATGCCGTCAAGTTGGTTCCAACTCATAGCGACCTTACGTACAACAGAAACACTGCCCAGTCCTGCACCATCCCATCCTCACAACTGTTGTTATGTTTGAGCCTATTGTTGCAGCCACTGTTGAGGGTCTTCCTCTTTTTCGCTGATCTTCTACTTTACCAAGCATGATGTTCTTCTCCAGGGACAGGTCCCTCCTGATAACGTGTCCAAAGTATGTGAGATGAAGTCTCGCCATCCTTGCCTCCAAGGAGCCCTCTGGCCATATTTCTTCCAAGACAGGCTTGTCTGTTCTTCTTGCAGTCCAGGGTATATTCAATATTCTTCACCAACGCCATAATTCAAAGGCATCAATTCTTCTTCAGTCTTCCTTATTCCCTGTCCAGCTTTCACATGCATACGAGGTGATTGAAAATATCATGGCTTGGGTCAGACGCACCTTAGTCCTCAAAGTGACATCTTTGTTTTTTTAACAGTTTTAAAAGGTCTTTTGCAGCAGATTTTCCCAATGCAATACGTTGTTTGATTTCCTGACTGCTGCGTCCATGAGCATTGATTGTGGATCCACACAAAATGAAATCCTTGACAATGTCAATCTTTTCCCCGTTTATCGTGATGTTGCTTATTGGTCCGGTTGTGAGGATTTTTGTTTTCTTTATGTTGAGGTGTAATCTGTACTAAAGGCCGTAGTCTGATCTTCATCGGTAGGTGCGTCAAGTCCTCTTCACTTTCAGCAAACAAGGTTGTGTCATCTGCATATCACAGGTTGTTAATGAGTCTTCCACCAATCCTGATACCACATTCTTCTTCATATAATCCAGCTTCTCAGATTATTTGCTCAACAAACAGATTGAATAAGTATGGTGAAACGATGCAACCCTGACGCGCACGTGTCTTGATTTTAAACCGTGCAGTATCCCCTTGATCTGTTCAAACGACTGCCTCTTAGTCTATGTACAGGTTCCTCATGAACACAATTAAGTGTTCTGGAATTCCCATTTTGGCAATGTTATCCATAAGTTGTTATGATCCATACAGTCGAATGCCTTTGCAGAGTCAATAAAACACAGGTAAACATCTTCCTAGTATTCTCTGCTTTCAGCAAAGATCCAGCTGACATCAGCAATGATATCCCTCCTTCCACATCCTCTTCTGAATCTGGCTTGAATTTCTGGCAGTTCCCTGTTGATGTACTGCTACACCTGCATTTGAATGATCTTCAGTAAAATTTTACTCGTGTGTGATATTAATGAAATTGTTCGATAAATTCCACATTATCGAATGTTCTGGCTCTCTTCCAGTCGGTTAGTCAGGCAGCTGACTTTCAAATTTCTTGGCATAGATGAGTAAGCACGTCCAGTGCTGCATCAGTTTGTTGAAACATCTCAACTGGTATTCAGTCAATTCCTGGAGGCTTCTATTACGCCAATGCCTTTAATGCAGCTTGGACTTCTTCCTTCAGTACCATGGGTTCTTGATCATATGCTACCTCCTGAAATGGTTGAAAGTCGACCGATTCTTTTTGGTACAGGAATACAGTGACTCTGTGTATTCCTTCCATTTGCTTTTGACGCTTCCTGTACCATTCAATATTTTGCCCATAGAATCTTTCAAAATTGCAACTCAAGGCTTGATTTTTTCCTTTAGTTCTTTCAGCTTGAGAAACGCCGAGCGTTTTCTTCCCTTATGGTTTTCTAACTCCAGGTCTTTGCACACTTTATCATAATATTTTACTTTGTCTTCTTGAGTTGCTGCCCTTTGAAATCTTCTGTTCAGCTCTTTTACTTCCTAATTTCTTCCATTTGCTTTAGCTATCCTACTTTCAAGAGCAAGTTTCAGAGTCTCTTCTGACATCCATTTTGATGTTTCTTTCCTGTCTTTTTAATGACCTTTTGCTTTCTTCACGTATGGTGTCCTTGATGTCTTCCCACAACTCGTCTGGTCTTCCGTGATTAATGTTCAATACGTCAAATCTATTCTTGAGATGGTCTCCAAATTCAGGTGGGATTATACTCAAGGTCGTATTTTGGCTCTCGTGGACTTGTTTTACTTTTCTTCAACTTCAACTTGAACTTGCATATGAGCAATTGATGGTCTGTTCCGCAATTGGCTCCTGGCCTTGTTTTGACTGATGATATTGGGCTTTTCCATCGTCTCTTTCCACAGATGTAGTTGATTTGATTCTTGTGTTTTCCATCCGGTGAGGTCCATGTGTATAAGTGGCTGTTTCTGTTGTTGGAGGAGGTAATTATGGCATGTCAATATGATGGAATAATATGTGCTTATCAAACTTGATATTAAGTATTATGGCAAAGTTCTAAAAATGAGTTAAGTGAACATAGCAGGAGACAAACGAGTAGATCTGTTATGATTACACTCATATAAGAAATACACAGAGAAGACGTTTCAAAGGAAACACACTAAACACACATGCAATAAGTAGCCATTGTCTTTGGGTGGGCAGAATAAGATTTTCTTCTTCCTTCTCTAATTTCTACACATTTTTCCAAAGCATGGGTTATTTTTATTGTTGCTGTTGTCTTGTTCCATCGAGTTGATTCTGACTCATGGCAATCCCATGTGTTACAGAGTTGAACTGCTCCACAGGGTTTCTTGGCTGTAATCTTTACCGAAGCAGATCGCCAGACTTTTTCTTCTGTGGTACCGCTGGGTGGGTTTGAACCACCAACCTTTCAGTTACCAGCCGAGCACAAACCATTTGAGCCACCCAGAGACCTGTTATTTTTGTAATAAATATATTTAGTCTTCAGTCAGGAAAAGATCATATTGTACAAGTATTCTGTTAAGTGATCACTCAGCTCAGCCAGCATTTAGGATTAGTAATAATCCTTATTTAGTATCTAGTATTGGAATTATTTACCGAGTACTTAATTGTGCGCCACACCAGACTGTGTGGACTTCTTTTAATCCTACTCCACATGGTAGGTACTTTATCAACTACATTTTACAGCTGAGAAAACTGAGGCTTGCAGAGGTGACATTACTTGTCCCTGCACTGGGGCGAGGACTTCCGGATTCTCAGGCCAGTTGCCCATGTCAACTAGAAGGGCCGGCCCTTCTTCAGGTGCGGGTAGGGATTCCCTTACCAAGACAAGCTCTTTCTTGAGTACCAGAGTCATGACGTCATTAGAGCACGTGGGCTGGATCAGGGCCATGAGCAGCTCCTGGTTGCAGCTGTCCTTGGGAAGGGTGGTCTGGACTGGTGCTGGTGAGGTCTGCAGCCCACCACCTGTGGGAAAGTAGAGGCAGGCCAGGCAAACAGTCACTGAGCGCTCACTGTGCAGTGGGTACTAAGCCCTTCTATAGTTAGCTACTCTCATTGTCCCCATTTTGCAGAGGAGGGAAATGAGGCTCAAAGAGGCTGATGTACATGCCCAAGGTCACACAGCGGTGTGGTGATGCTTCCCCAATGTGTGGCAACTGATCCAAGGGGATAGCAAGGGAAGGAGGGGCTGGGTGCTCACCACAGCTGGGGGCCCGAAGTGAGACGGCATTGACAAGAGGGAGCTCCACAAAGGATGCCACGACGCTGGCGTTGAGCTTCCGGGCTTCTCCTAGCAAGCCTTGGGGAGTATCTGGGAGCATGAAGCCAGGGATGTTCTTCTCAGGGAAGATCTTGAAGGAGTATTCACCAGTGGTCTAACAGCAGGGAGAGAGGCAGAGCAGAAGCCATAGAGAGTCAGGGCGGCATCCAGGGTTGTATACCAGGGCTCAGCCCTGCTCTCTCCTTTGCTCCAGCTGTTTTCTCTGCCTGGGGCACTCTTCCTCTCACCACTGGCTCCCCTTTGTCCTTCAACTCAGCTGGGGGGAGGTGGGAGACTCACCTTCTCCAGGAATCTTCCCTGACCTTTGGACCAGGGAAGGTTTCTGGGAGGAGGTGCTGTCCAGGCAAAGGTGTGAAGGAAGAATATGTGGTGGACAGAGGAAGAGGTTCAGGGCAAAAGGGTCCTAGTGTGGAAAGGCTCAGGGCTGGCGTACTGGTGGAGGGACCTGGTGTGATGGCAAGGTCTTGAAGGCAGAGGTAGGGGGCTTTCTCCCTTAGGGAGCCTTGGTGGGGCCTGTAGGTAGCTGTCTGGGACAAGACTCACCCAGATCTGCACGTTGTGGGTGGCGTCGATGAGCCAGGATATTTCGGGTGGGCCCTGCAGGATGAGGATGGCGTCGGGGTCCCCCGACGTACAGCTCAGCTCCACCTTCACCGTCACCGTCCGAGGACTGTGGTCAGATAGCCCCTTCAGCGCGGGCGCGAATGCGGGGTGGGGCGGGGCCTGATGGGGACTGGCCAGCCGGGGGACACAGCTGCGCTGTAACCTGGGGGTGCGGGCCTGCGAGGGTGGGCGGGCCGGGGTGGGGCCTGGGCGGAGCAAGGTCTGACTAGGGGAGGGGCCCATAGGGGGACCGGGCCTAGAGACAGGTGAGGGCGACAGTCCTCTTACCAGACTGGGAGCGGGGCCGAGGCTAGGCTGGGGGCGTGGTTAATAAAGGGCGAGGTCTGAGTAGGGGCGGGGCCTGGCGCCAGAGGGTGGGTGGGTGGGTGCGGGCATCCTTACCTGACCGCGGAGCCTGGCAGGACCCTCAAGATGTGCGCTTCCTTGTGGCCTGACACGCCTTCCAAGCGGCAGCCCCGTATCAATGCCGGGGTACGCGGCTGCCACTCGAGCATGCGGCCCATGTCCACGGGGGCCTCTTGCGGGCAGACGAACAGTGGCTTCGGGGCTGCGGAGACAAGCGTCACCTCAGTCTCCTCCCAGAGCATCTTGGCACCTAACACGGAGCTCCACCCCACCCACAGCCAAAGATGATGGGAGTGGGGCGGGGCAGGCTGGAGCTACAGAG